ATAAGTTGCTGGACACACTACATTAACGTGGGAAAAAAAATTTTGCATAGAGAACGCGTTATCTCATTGCTTGAGCTTGATGAATATTCTTGGAAGACGAGATATCTTGTCCATAGTGATGAAAGAGTTAAATTTCAACTAGTTAAATTTATTGAAATTTAATAGCCCTCCTACAAAAAGGCATACTGTAGAGTCTGCACTTGGTTCTTTAAGGACATTTATACCTCAGATTCTATGAACATCTCATTTCCCAAATTTATTTTTCCAAACTTTTAAACTGATTAAATCTCTCCTAAAAACCTTGTTTTATTTTTCTATTTAATGATTAAATATTTTTTCATTGCATTTTATTTTGTTGAATTTCAAGAATATTTTCAAAAATTATTGAATTTTAAAAAACGGTTGTGTATTTTATGATTTTCATTTCCTGATCTATAGCTTAGATATCAAGTTGCATCATAAATATTTTAACAGCTCAATTAATACAATTTGTCCATTTTGCTGATGTTTTTTATTCAGTTCACTGAGATGCTGAGCCATGTCACATTAATCATTTAATCAATCAATGTTCGAAAATTTGTCACAACTACTTTTTTTCATTAAAATAAAGCTTTATTTCTTCTAATAAATCAACAAATTGCTTAAAAACTTGACCACAAATGGGCCATTGAACATTGTTGTATGTAAAAAAAAAAAAAAAAAAAAAGAAAAAAGAAATTATTCATAATATTGTTCATAATAATTTTCTGGATTGCATCTTTCAGAATGAATTTATTCATGCTTGCTTGTGTAATCCTGCAGCAATGTGAGAGCTCTTGTCCAATTGCAGATCACAATTTCAGAGAGGAACCCAACTATATGAATATTGCTACTATTTAATGCGCAGCCCTTTTCTGCCATTTTGCTTGCCTTTTTCTATAGACCATTGTGTGAATATGTAAGCTGTACAGAATTGTGGGTGCGTATCGTACCCGTAAGGAGGATGTGTGAAGAATATAAACTGCAAGAATTAATCCTCCAGAAATAAATTATGTGATGTATCTTCACCAATATTTGCTATTTTTTCTTCCCCATTACACACCATTCAAACTATGCAACAACCTATTACAGCTGTTCCCAATTCATTATACAGTCAAAAGTCATTAATCCGGACTCATCGGGACTTCGGCGATTCCGGATTATCGATATTTCCGGATTATAGATCATCAGTTTAAATCTCATAAGATGGCATGCAGAAATTCTAAAATTAAAAATATGAAACTGTAATCTATGAAATAAAGAACAATTATGATATAAAGAGTATCAAAATTTAGAAAAAAAAAAGCTTAATATTTATTTGTTTACTTTATTAAACATTTCTTTCAATGTAAGTTGTTTAAGTTGCTTCGTTTTATGAGATAATACTTTCTCTTTATTCTATAAACAGACATAATTTCTTGTTCAGTTACAAGGTTCCGCTGTTCAAATCCCGTTAATTGCTGTGCCGAGAATACCGGCTAACTTGTCAAACGAAATTTTTTCGTTTTCACTAACCTCTCTGTCACCTTCTTCATGTCTTTATCCATTTTTTGCAGCAATTCCACTTTTTGTTTGATGGACATCGGAACATACTTTCGTTTTGTAGATCCTTTGGGAGCTCCAGCATCGGAAATTCTATTTGACATAAACGAAAGTTCAAGTTTACTTTTATAAAATTGCTCTTACAGTCTGCAAAAAATAATAAGCCGGAAATAATTCGAAGATTAAGGAACAACGCAATCATCAACATTAACTGAAATAGATAATTTTAGCTTATACCGTCCGTTATACATAAAACGCACACGCAGAAATGTATTCTGCGCTTGCGCAAACACATATGCACAGTCGTAAAGCGGCGCATGCGCAGAAAATTTTTAGCTTTGAGGTCCGGATTATTGGTGTCTGAATTAACGACTTTTGACTGTATTACATTTAAATCAAGCTTGTGAAAAAATGACCCATTTTAATTCATTACACTATTTGAATTCAATGAAATATTCTATACATATATATGTAATTAAAGAAATAAAGTAAGTATATATATAGTTTTCGCACTAAATGAATTTAAGATCATACAACATTATATATATGTAAAGTTTGTGTGTTATTAATATAAATCCACAGTTTTATTCCATTCTTGATGAAATTTTGCAGAAAAAAAAAAAAGAAAATCTATACTTGGGATTTTTTTATTAGAATATTACAGTCACATCATCCATCTTAGGTTCAACTTGCTGTTGCATTCCTAGTATCAGTGCATGTCATAAATGCTGAGCAGGGAGTTGATAGTAAATTTTTAGATAAATATTAATATTTCTACACAGTTTCAGTTTTGAAATGACATCGCTCAGGTTCGTGTCATCGTTTTTGCATTACAGCTATCAATTCTGACTAAAACCGTTAGATGGTGCCGAGTTTATTTGCTGTTTAGAACAGTGTGGAAATTGATCCTTGAGTTTAAGAACTGAATGGAGAAAGAGGTGGTGGGATGTGCTTAAGGAGGATAATGTTCACCATCTGGAAATAAGGATGGAATGTGGGTTGTTGAAATGGGACAACCAGAAATGCCAACATTCCCTGTCACTTTCTGTGCTTAGGTTGTGCCTTTTGTATTAAGAATAAACATTTGAGTGTTTTTGTTGTTTGCTTTTTAAAATTACGTATTCTTTTCACTAAATGCATTTTAAAGTTATCCCTCCTAAATTTATTAGTCCAAAGTGATTTGAATCCCGAAGGACTATTAGTTTCGTTTTGGCATTTTGCGTCGGACTCATAAATGTCGGTTCACTTTTCAAACTATTGCCACAAAATGTTAGAGTCCTGCATTATATTTGAAGAAATTAAATAATGAAAAATCTGCATAAATGTATGTATATTTCTCGTATTGTGATAAAACAACGGTACATAGAGTCATCGAATTTTGAATAACGTAATCCTCCAACGAATATAAGCATGTGGAAGACCAAATTTGAAATTTGTTTTAGGATCGATTTCCTATTTTTTAAAACTTTGACGAATTTTTGATTAACAAACTCAAGGATTTCAAAGCCAGCAATGGCAACGTTGTGCAGAAAAAACATTTTTATCTCCAGCGCGTGAGTCTCTGTATCGGAAATTCTAAAGGTATGCTCGTTTTAAAACTATTTTGCGACATTGCTGTTGCACTGGATCTTATGGTTTAAGTGCGAGGAACATGATATTTAATAAAGAAAGGTAACACACAAAATGTTAAAAAACGCCCCTTTGGACGTAATTTAAAATCTGAAACATTTCAGATTTTGTTTTTTTATTATTTAATTAAACTATTCAAAAAGATATAGACACAGAACATAGGCATAGAACAGGTACTTCAGCTAGTTTCATACCTCAGTCAGCTGTTGTTATACAGAATTCAGACTTTCTGCAATTTATCTTTTATAAAGAGTATAATTTTTTCATAAATGTAACTATAGAGACTGGAGGGATATAACGAAAAGTCTAATTTCATAATTTTTACAAAATTGATTTTTAAGTTTAAAAATGCTGAAATGTAATGATAGCATTTCCCAACCCAAAAAGTACCATTTTTTAGTAATACTGGTGGGGAAGGTTGGGTCCACTGTTATGGGAAGTGACTGTCAGGTTACCTGTGCGGAGTGGCTGCAGGTAGCATATCTGACTCCTTATAATTATTGGGTAAGATTGTGAGGTTACATACTCCTACTGCATTTTAAACTCAAATATATTTGTTAGAATTACAAGAAACTCTTTACATATATATATAACTCATAGATAGCATAGATAAGTATTTAAATTAATTATAGTCCTTGTAATGTGAGGTGAGGGTTCTGCTAACGAAGGTCTCTCTAGTCGAGAGTTGAGGAGCGTTCTTCTGGTGTTACTCCGATGGCGAAAATCTTCAGACTGAATCACATGTGCCTCCTTAATTTTACAGTAGCATTTGATTCGTTATATCTAAAATGATATCAGAGGAAAAAATCATATCATTGGTTCCTCACCCCTCCTGAAATCGAGAGGCTTTGATGACAGAAACGGTGCAGAACGTTAAAATCTCCTGACACTAGGCATGAAGTTATGTCTCGGCGATTTCAAAAACATGTCGTGTGACACCTCGTAAAGGCTGGGAGAAGTGAAATGCAGGGACCGCACACACAATTTACTGATCTCTGTGTGGTCTGTCGCACTGGGAACAGTGTGTTTTAAATGATGTAAAGTCATGGCTGTGTTCTTCCAAATGAATTAGTCAGTGGAACTATAAAATATCTGAGCAAGTGATAACACTGATAAACCTGATCTGATTAATGAGATCAGTTATGTTTTTCATTGAGAAATCAGTAAGATTGATTGTTGCATTCAATGACTTTAAATCTATGCATATTCCCACCTCTTTTGAAGGTACATACTACTGGCTATGTTATTTTAGCCTCACTTGGTTTATTGAAATCCAAATTCTCTAGTCTGCTATCTACTTGTATCTTTTGGGCTTTAGAGATACAAGAATTTTGCAGATTTATGGCTTTCCCCCAATTTGACTTCAGCTAACAAATGAAGTGTATTTTCATGAACATTGTCAATTTTTATTTTAATATATGCATTACAGAGGCTGTGGTAAAACCCGATACTAATTTCTTGCAAAATAATCCATGAAATCTATGTGATATTTATGGAACAAAATATTTCATAAACATAAGTGTTTAACAGCAGAAAAATGATTTCATGCTTAATAGCAATTTTTATGAGATGTATTTCTAATTAGAAATACGATTATTAATTTCAATAGTTGATATTTGATTTTGTTATTAGTTTTTTATTTATTTATTTGCAGGTTTTTTCACCCTCCTCCTATTTTGTGAAGATTATAATTTGTAGCTGCCAGACTTGTATCGCTCTGTCTTGTTTCTTTATTTTATTTTACTTTTCTGAAACTGATATCTTCCTAATATTTTTGAAGATGTATTTAATAATTTTTGTAATATTTTTAGGTATCAGAAGACAACAAATACATATGCTCCTTACAACAAAGATTGGATTAAAGAGAAAATCTACATATTGCTTAAACGTCAGGCTTCTAAGAATTCATAAATACATTTTATTCAGTTTTCCCCTGTGCATAAAATACTCATTGATCATGCAATTTTTCCCTTTTTGTAATTTTTTTTAGTATATCCTTTATTTCTTTTAAATCGCTTTACATTTTTTATCATATTCTATTAATCTTGTGTTGTGATAGTTCTTATATGTATACATTTGTAAAAAATTTTAAAATGTTTTTAATGCATAAAATCATTATCTTTGTACATAATTATTTATGGAATAAAATATTGAAATGTAAAGATGTTTGTAAAATGATTGCTAAATGTTATGGCTATACACAAAAATTAATAAATGATGACAAATAAATAATCAAGGCAAAGAAAAGAAAAAAAATCTAGTAGTTTATATATATATATATACTTATTATAAAGTGTAACTTTTCTGATGCTACATAGTAACTTATTCCTACACTGACAATATAAATCCAAACAAATATTTCTATGAGTGCAAGGCTAATATAGTGAAAATCATATAAAGAAAATTTCCCAAAATATTAAAGCTATTTGCATTTAATAATAAAATTATGTCAGTAGAAAAAATTTATAAAAAGTGTGTGTGATACAGCTATGATTAATACAAATGTTATTTAATTTTCATCGCAATTATAAAATTAAGTAATATTGCTATAATGACAAAGATTTTGAATATTGAAAGAAATCCTATACTGTATACTTGTAGAGTTCTTATTTTTCCCTTAGATGCAGTTGTAGCAGGCTTTTTATTAAGTTCATAGTAGGTTTTAACAAAGCTATAGGGTTCTTCATGAATACATTTCTGAGATAGAGAAGATTAATGAATATAAGCTTCTCTTCCTGATCCACTGAAAAATTCCTTTCAGTGTGTCTAATTGCATAAAAATCCATTTTCTTACAGTTAGTGGGAGGCATCATAAATGCTATCACAGAATTCTGGACAATTATTTCAGATGTTACTGTATTTATTTGTTATTATTGTCAATGTAAAAACTTGTCATAACTGTCAGAAATATGTCATTATTATTTCATTGCTTCTATATTACTTTAAAAATAATGTTGTTTAACGCTTTGAGCACCATGTCTATTTTATGCATCTTTCTTGAAAGTTTCAAAATCTGACAGGAGAGCCAGGATCACTTGATCAAAGTTGTATAAATTTGTAACAAAATAAATATTCCAATATTACTGTTTTGAAAGCTGTTATTCACTGCATTAGTACAGCTATTTTAAAATATCTGTTCCAAATGATATTTTTCTTAACAAGATATAAATTAATTTAAGAGAATGCATGTTTTCCTTGGCTCAGTAAGAGGGAAGCAAAGTGTATATTAATTACTAATTCAGATTTTGCGGTTTTGCAGCTGAAGATGATGGTTCGGTAAAACCATCGAAACTAGTCCTGTGAAAATTTTGTAAATTAACGCTGATTTTTGTTGTTTGACTTCTGAATTAGTATTTATTCGGCGTGTTATTGTGTCTTAATTGTATATTAATTGTTATTATTAAATTATATAAAAGTATTAAACAATTTAAGCATGGCAAAATCAGTTATGACTTTTGAAAACTTTAAATAAAATTAAAGAAATGTTAGATATTTTTTTAAATTTTAAGTAGATATACACTAAATTAAAAAAAAAAGAGCCCACATTCTTTTAAGTAATGCATTTATAAATGCATAGCTAAATTATCCCTGCTGGAAAACCATTCATAAATGGATTATGGAAATGTGCACGAAAGTGTCGACTATATATGGGTGACATCACACTCAAAGTGTTAATATGATTTAAAGCATTCATCTGTCTTATGTTGTAGAGACATTAGGTTAATTTTAGAAGCAGGCAAGATGAAAAATGAGCAATTGCCTTTGCCGGGAATTGAACCATGGACCTCTGACATACCGGCTCAGCGTGCAGACCACTACACCACAAAGGCATGCTAGGAAGGTGTATCTTATGTATCCCCCTTTTAAAGTGTGACTGGGGTTTTTAGGGGACCCAATCACCAAGTCCTGGGTGAAGAGAATCATCATCCAACACCCTTTTAGTTCAGGCACCACTGTAAAGGCATTAGGTAATTTGGAAGTAGGAAAGATGAAAAATTAGCAACTACCTTCGCCAGGGATTGAACCACGGACCTCTGAAATACCTTATAATGTAATGTTTTCTGGAAAACATTGTTGAACTATATCATAACAGTGGATGTGTGCTAAATGCTATTCTGTTAGTAAGTTCTAAACATAGACGACATAGTCAGCTTTCTAGGCTGCTGATTTTTGGTTGGTGCCAGGTAATTTATTCTTAGATGCATCAATCAAATATAAGTATATTTTGCTTTAAATTAATATATTTTATTTACATGGAGTGCCAATCATTTTCACTTCCTAGGATGACAAAATGCTGAGCAGTGTCTGGTACTTATAATAGATTTAATTTATTTGGAAGGGAGCATTCATCTATATTTATTTAAAATGTATAAAGCGAATATAGTTATGGTATTGGTTAGGTTAAATGAGTAGTACAATTAAATCTGTATGAGATGGTAGGTAGGTGTAACTGATACACCATATTATATATATATATATATGAATGGAAAATATGGTATATAAAAATTACTTTTGCATGTACAAAAAAATAGTGATTCTCAAAAACTGTTGAAAAAAATTTAATGAATTATTTGTTGTGATGCATTATCGTAACACATAAATGTACAGAGTGAAAAATTGGATAAAATGCATATAGCCCAAAAGAGTATTTCCAAACCTATTGAAATCAAGTAACATATGATAATAGATTTTTAAGAGAAAACAAATACTTCAGAAAGATGTGTACATCTTTAATTAAATAGGGAATGTGATCATCAACAAGGTCGTTTAATTGAAGTTTAGGGGAATAGGTTCCATTCTTCCAACCAGTACGGTCTTCAAGGCACTAAGATTTCTTCAGGAGGAATTTCCTTCTGCAACAGGTTTTCCTGTGAATTATCTTTGTTTGTATGACACAGATCAGGAGATTTGGTGAGGCAAGTTATTTATTCAGTGTTTTCAGTTTTGAAAAATTAACCGTCAGATTTGCTGAATTTGAATATGTGTTGATGCTTGAGGAATGTTCAGTCCCCATGAACTAATACTATTGCTGTGGTTTATTTCCTAATTTTCCCATAATCCTCAGAAGAAAGAAGCATTTCTGAATACAAAAGATAAATTTATTCGGACATACATATTGTAAAAATTATGTATACAAGTTTTACATACAATTGAGTTGCCCGTTTTCAAGAAACCAAGGTGTGTGTCCTGGTCCATTAGTGCACCTTTGATATATAGTATTTAGTTACTGGTAAGTGCATGCCTGCATCAATTGCACAGTTACTCCATTCCTATCTAAAACCTAACTGATTACTTTTGGTTATAAATCGCCAGTGAAAGTACACTGCGCACCAAAGAAAAGGGGGGACAGTTCTATATCTCCCGTTCTACTGGGCCGATTGACGAAATTTAACTTGCGTTTTTCATGTCTCAAAAGTGCGCTTTGGGATATGTATTAAATTTATATATAGCATTGTTCTAATATAGGTAACACAAAATCGGACTTTTCTGTAATAATATACCAATCTTTTTCCATATTTTGATTCTGTGGCTCAAATTACACCAAACTACGAAGTTTTGTAAAAATCACACGAGTAATTTTTTAAAAATTAGCTCTCAAAATTTTAGCTCCTCAATGTGAATTGAGTTTGGGATATATTTATTAATCTCACTCTTTTTTTTTTTTTAAAGCTTATTTGATTCTTCCTTTCACATTTCGAAATTCAGGTTCATTCCAAATAAAATTCAACCATTTTTTATGAGTTTTAAATAATTTTTAAAAATTTTTCAAAAAATATTTTGGATTATAATCTATAAAATTTTTAACATCTTAAAATAGGCATATTTCTAAGCATACCTGCAAAAAATTAGAATTTTTTATTCAAAATTTCCGAAGATATACGTGAATTTATGTATTGGCGCATTATATCTTGGCATATTTGTTGAAAGAGATGAAACATCAGATGTGGTTTAAACACTTTGCTAAAATTATTTGGAAGTAGAAACGAGGTGCCTTGTTTTTTCCGCTCCGGTATAATGGAAGCGAAAGGAAAATTGGTTGACATATATTAAGAAGTTCACCAAGCGAGTTATTCTTGGCCAACTGAAAAAAATTCGCCAAGATAAATTTTTGAATTTCTCCATAAATTTCGCACGAAATTTTACAAAATTTAATATCTAAGAATAATTTGAGTCATAGAATCGAGATAAGAAAAAAATTGGTATGTTATTTCAGAAAAAGTCCGATTTTGTGTCAAAATATCTTATGTTAGAAAAATGCTATATATAAATCTAATATATATCCTAAGTCGCGCTTTCTAGACATGAAAAACGCAATTTGAATTTTGTCAATTGGCTCTGTTGAACGAGAGATATAAAACTATTACTTTTTTTTTTTTTTTTTTCACAATGGGTATTTTTCTCTTGGGACAGGAGAAGAGGAGAGTATCCCAAAACTAAAGATTGTAACTAGAATGCAAACCCAGGTTCACATATCTAATAACTGTCTGGTACACTGAAATACTTTTATGATTAATTTCCTACCAATTTTAGCTAATCCAAAGATATGATATAACTATTTCACATTGCACAGGGCCAAAGCTTAACAATGCTGATATTTTGCATCCGTCATCTCTGCAGAATTGAAGTACTGTCACTCCAAACTGATTATATTTTCCGCCATTATATGACTCTTTGTTCTTTGTGACTGTATGTTATCCATAAAAATAGAGCAACTCGCATAACGGATAGCAAATAAATTTAAATATAATGTATTAAGGTATTCAGTGCTTGGTTATAATAAACATATTCAACAAAATGTAGAAATGTCCATATATTCAGCATAAAATATAATTGTGTAATATAAGTTATATAAATATAATATTATTTCATGATACTCAGCTAACTGTCTACTTATTGTTCTCTCTAAATCAATCTAGAGTCTGGTAGCACATATAATCAATCTGGACAGATACGTCTGTGGAGATAAATGATACATAACTAATAGAAACATTATCTAGTATCATATTCAGCTAGATAATGAACGTGCTGATTTGTGTACATGTATTACTGCTTTCGGTAGATTTCGTTTTTCTTATACAAAATACATGCATATTTTCTTATGCCTTTTAGTGCTAGTTGTGTACCTGAAATGTTTTAAATGGCACTGGACAGCCATTTTCGAAAATTTGCCCGATATTCATCCGTATTTTGACGATTTCATTGTACACAATGCAAACTTTTTCTGCACTTTTGATGATCAACTGAAACATTTTTAAACTTATATTTCAAATTTAAGTTTTGGGATACATGAAAGTGTGAGAATATGCATCTTCTAAAGCACTTTGTCACATTCTTACATTTAACCTATCATATTCAGTTTGAAAGTAGATCTAAATTTTTACAATTTTTTTATCAATTTTAATTCGATATGCAGTTTAATTCCTTTTCGGGTTTTCATCCGCAGAGAACCCGTTGGCGCTTCGGGCGCCGTTGCATTTTTACTCGCCAAGCTCGCGGTTCATCGACGATGAGCCGAGCCGTAAACATGATTTTTAGTGCATGTAAATTCAAGTTAGCAGACAAAACAATATATTAAGCATATGGTAGTAAAAATTTACAGATAATAAATGTAGATGTAAAATAACCGATATACGATCAAGTTAGCACAGAAAAGAATATATTAAGCATAAGACAATATATAAACATTTATAACAGAAATAAAAATTCATTTAAAAAATATAAATTAGTATTAATGTACTGAAGTTACCTCGTAAATGAAAAAAATTTGTCTTAATTCCAGTTAACATAGAAAACAATATATTCCTTACACCAGCAGCGGTTTTGCTAATTTTGATGACCATGGTGATGCATCAACTATTCTGTCATCTTAGATAATCATAATATTTTTTATTTCAAGTTAATCATCTATTTGTGTCACACCTCCATTCTCTGAAAAGGTTATTGTTAGAAAAAGCATTAACAATACATTATCTGTTAAATTTTACGCCATAAAAATTGATTTATTCTCATAATTTTAGATGACAATACCACTAATAAAATAAAGCATTACTTAATTATTTTAAAATGCACATGTCCATTTTTGCGGCCT